AAAAAAAAAAAAAAAAAAAAAACCTTCCCTTCAACCCCCTACTCTTCTTCATCCCTCGACGAGCTGACCTCCTCCACCACATAGTTCGCGGGATGAGAACAGCACCCACAACCACACACCTTCCTCACCACATTCCTCCTCTTACGACGAGCCGACCTCCTCCACCCATAGTTCGCAAGAGGAGAAATGGTAGAAATCAGGTGAACACCCTCACCCTAGTAAGTGCAGCACCACACCTCCTCAAAACACCTGGCTCATAAAACGTAGGCAAGCAACTCAGAAATCAAAAGGTTATGAAAACCAAGTAGTCATATAAGGCATATTAATCCCACAAGAAGAGAGGACGAAAGGGAAGTTCTTCTCTACCCATGGAAATTCCTGCGCCTATTCCCGTCTCCGTTGAAGGTAAAGGCTCACAAGAACCTAGTGGCTTACTCCCCCCACACACAAAACGACCTCCTGCCCTTTCACTGCCTCCACTGGAAGGTGCCCCCTCACCTTCCAGCCCCAATTCAGAGCAAACCCCTAAATCCCTCCTGCTCCCTCAACAGCATACAATACCTCCTAGAGTATGCCCCCGCAGAGCCGAAGATCACTCTTCCCTCATGTCCTACCCCCTCCAAGTGAAACACCTCACAACCTCTCACCTTGTTGAAGCCAGCATCGACCCTTTGTCCTCTCTCCCAGCCGCCTTAGCTGATCCAACCCAAATCAGCCTGGCCCAAAAGAGAACAAACCCACAAACCACCCCTACCCTCTCAAGGATCACACCTCCCACCTTGCATAACCCTCGCAGGGTGGGGCTCAACCCTGAAGGAGCGAGTTCAATCAGTACCTATGAGCCCAAATCCTACGGTATCGCAGCCTGAGACTCAGTTATGACCTACTTTTTGAAGATCCCCCAAACAGATAATATTGAATCAGATATCAAATTCAAGATATAAGAGCACATACTAATATAAGATAGAATAACGCAAACTTGAGCTTACTAAAATAGGGAAACACGACAAATTAAGAATTCCACTCTCAGGCGAGTCGAAACATCAAAAAAAAAACAGCAAATTCACGAGACCATTGGAAATCTAAAAGGTTAGAAATCATTATTCGAGATCAGAGACGAAGCTCCGATTTACGATGGAAAATATGAAAAGAACAAATCGAGAATTATTCAAAAAAAATTGAGATCATTCATGAGCCCACTATCTTGAATCAGGTACGTGGATTATTCTTCACGAGTTCATTGAGAATCTAAAAAGTTAGAAAACATTATTCAAGATCAGAGACGAAACTCTGATTTACGATCATCAACATGAAAAAGATTGAATCGAGAATTATTCGGAAATTTTTGAAATCATTCATGAGCCCGCTGTCTCGAATCAAATTCGAATTGAAAGCCTAAAGCTACCTGTCATGAGAAATCCAAAATAGAGAAATCCAAAGGAATCAAAAATTAGATTCGAAACCCAGAGATTAGTATCAAAACTCGAATTTACAATCATCTGAAAATCGAAATCGAGTTACTATCTTGAAGCTACCTCCCTAAAAAACGAGATCAAAACGAAAAAACGGAGGTCACTCAAGCCACGAAGAGCAACAAGCATCCCACAAAACTATGGATCGAAGCATATAAACCAACCTCTCATCATTATGTGTCTGTCTCCCCCAAACCTTCACCCCCTCCCTTATCGGCCCGAAGGCAACTCAGCCATCACGTGGCCACTCTCTCGGCCATCAAAAAAAGATTGAGCAATAGGACTAACGGACCGTGGCTTCACTTTACCCCTCACTTGCCACGTAGCAAGACAAAAACACCAAACCTGCCGGTGACCCCTCACTGGTAGTCCGGGGGAAACAGACCTTCCATGCCCTTCGTTGCCCTTCATCACTTGATTCTTTCGTTGGACACATGACACCCCGCAATTTGTAGCTCTGATGTTGATGCTGGCAGACCATACCCATCACAGCCCTTCACAAGCAGCCTCTTCATAGCAACCTCATCCTCTACGCATGATGCATCACCCTCATCACCATCCTTCCCATCATCAACCATTCACCCAAAACCTCTCAACCGCCACCTCACACCACCCCGAATCCACTCCCCCTGTCATCGCGCTGCTCCACCGCTTGTTGCCGTCCAGCGCCGCTCGGTCCGACTACGCGCCGCTTCGCCGCTCGGTGCCGCTCGGCCTGACTGCGCGGGCGGGGTGCAGCGCTGGCCCCGACGTCCTGACGCCAACCAGTTCGGGTTTCCGGTGTGGGGCAGAAACGAGGTTCACCGACA